GGGGACCCGGAAGTCCGCAGCGCCCCGGGCGACGCCGTGAAGCTCAGGCTCGTCTCGCCGCACAGGAAGAGAGGGTGGCGCGGCGCGCTCGTGTCGGGACCGCCGCCGGGCGGACCGCTGCCGGGCGCCGCCTCGGCCGGCAGCGGCGGGGTGCAGCACGTGGCGCCGTCGGCGAGTCGGCGCGCGGGCGCGTTGGCGGCGAGCGTGGCGGCGGCGGCGGCGAGCAGCGCGGGCGGCAGAGCGGCGGCGGGCAGGCGGAGGGCGAGGAGGAGAAACACGACGACGGAGGCCAGGCCGGTCGTGACGCCGTGAAAGGCGAGGGCGCGCGGAGACTCGAGGGCAGCGAGTCCGTCGGCGCGCAGCAGCGACGGCCACTCCGCATACGGCGGCCAGGCGGACGACGGAGTCGCCTCGTCCTTGTGCAGCGGCTTTGCGAGGCGCGTGACGAAGAGGCAGACGCCGCGCATGCCGACGCCGACCGCGGTGAGGATGGCGGAGCGAAGGAGCTGCGCCCACAGGAGAGAGGCGGCGGAGCGGCCGCGCTGGAGGTTGCGCAGGATGGAGAGCGCGTTGCCCAGGCCCGAGAGCAGGAAGAAGAGGCCGGAGAGCTGCTCAAAGTAGTGGAGCGGCTGCGTCCAGTTGCACTCGTCCTCGCCGCACGCCTCGGTCACCTCGAGAAGACCCAGCCAGAGGACCATCGAGAGCGCGGTGGCGCGGTACATGTCGACCCCCAAGATGCGGTTGTCCGGCGGAAGCGTCATGGCCCCCCGCGCGCGCCAATATTACACAGGGGTCTGCATGTGCTTGACTACTGTCTGCATGAATGCTTGGACAGGTGTGAACCATCCCCAGGGCCTCCAGGGCTCGCACCTCAACCTCTCACAGGCCAGCGCACAGCGCCATAAGAGGTATTTTCTTCTCAATAACAAGGCTGTGAACAACACCTCGTGACCACGGCGCCGCAGGCGCCTGTTGATGGGTCCAGGTGATAGCCCTGGATGGGCAATGCATACGCCTAGTTGGGCCTCAGATCGCCCGACCGCGTCCCGGTGCTCTGTGGTCGGATTTGCGACGCCGCCACACCGCGCCGCGGCCGGGGGCCCTCCGGAGGCCAAGGATGGCCGTGACGGACCGGGACGAGCTCTGGGAGGTTCAAGGCAAGCATTAGACCCATGCAACCGAGACCCCTCCCCCCCCGCCCCGATCCCCCCACCCCCTTGCTCCCCTCCCCCCCTCGGGAGGGCCGAACTGAGGCGCCCGAGGGGACCCCGCAATTCCCTTCCCCCCTCGGAGGGCCGGACTGAGGCGTCGAGGGCCCCACTCTTTCCTTCGCATAGCGGCCACTCTTCGGATCGCTGGTCGAGCGACCCGGGGGATGCCCCGCGCGCCTGACCCAGGCGCGGAAACGAATCTGCGAGGCGTGGCCGCTCACGCGGCCCGATGGGGAGGAGGGGAAGACGTAGGGCGTGCTTGCGCGCCTTTCCGAGGCCCCTCCAACCCACCCGCGCTAGGTCTCGGGTTTGACGCATGGGGTCACTCCCGCGAAACCCGTGAACTAGCCGGGGCAGTCGGAGAAGTGGCAACTCCGTGCACTGACGGTCGGCCGTCAGAAAACACGCCTCCGTGGCTCGGGTTACACCAATCCTCGCTACCCAACGCGGCCAAAGGATATCCACCTCGAGAACCTCGAGACTCCTAAAAGAAAGAAAACAATTGATCTTCTTCACCACCGCCTCCACATCACTGCGCGAGAAGAGCTAGATCCACGGTTCTCTCTCTCGCACCGACGCCTCGCCGGGCCACTTCGCCACAGTGTTGGTCATGCTGCGCAGCACCGTCGTCCGCGTGGACCACCTCTGCTGCGGGATGGAGGCGAAGCTCATCCGGGACATGCTCGGTCCGCTCGAGGCGGTGGCCGAGGTCAAGATCTCTGTCACTGATCGCCGTGTCAACGTTGAGCATACAGACGGGCTCGCGCCAGAGTCGATCGTCGACATGCTGAACCGGAAGCACCTGGGCGCGTCGCTGCAGGACAAGTCGGTGGTCGAGTCGGTGGGCAGCAGCTTCAACCACGCGGAGATCGTCCGCCTCACCGTCAACGCGACTCAGATCGTACTCTTCGCGGCGACCCTCGCGCTGCCGCGCGTCGGCTTCCCAAAGATGGCGTACGGGCTTGCGTGGGCGTGCGTCGCGATGAGCGTCGCGCTCTTCCACGAGGCGTACCTCGCGCTGCGGCGTCGCTCGCCAAACGTGGAGCTGATGATGGCGATCGCGGTGGTCGGCGCGCTGGTGCAGGGGCAGCGTGGTCGAGATATCGCCGAGATCTAGCCGAGATTGACCGAGAGTAGGCGCGCTGGTACAGGGCAACGTGGTCGAGGCCGCCTCGGTCGGCGCGTTGGTCACGCTGATGGACTTAGTCAAGGTCTGCGCGCTCGAGGCGGTCGGTCGGCGGCTGCGCGGCTCCGTCGTCTCTGAGCCACTCGGCGTCGAGGTGTTCCGAGACACTTCCGAAGACGCTCCCCAGACCGATATGGGAAGCGGGGGGGGGGGGGGGGGCGATCATCGGGCCTCCACGTCCCGTTTTGACAAAACTGTGTGACACTGACTGGCCCATGGATCCCTGGCCCATGGATCCCTCCCCAGGTGCCCGGGGGCGGGAAAATGCCCCTGGCAAACCTGGCGGCGGGCAACTTGTACTTTCTGCCCGTGGGCAACGTCTTGCCTGCAAACGGAAGGGTCGTCCCGGGAACGGCCGCCCTCCACAAATCCCCCGTGACTGGAAAGGCCATGCCCCAGGCCAAGCCTCGGCCGCACCTCGGCTGCACCTCGGCTGCACCTCAACTGCACCTCGGCTGCACCTCAGCTGCACCTCGGCTGCACCTCAGCTGCACCTCGGATGCACCTCCCCCAGGCCAAGCGCAAGGGAAATAGCGTCCTCTCCGGTGCGATCGTGTCGGCGGGCTACCTACACGTGCGTGCCGAGGCGCCTGTCTCGGGCTCCTTCCAGGGGCGCGTCGCGTCTGCAGTCGAAGAGGCGAAAACGACCCTTTCGGAAATGGAGGAGCTCGTCGGCAGGTTCCCCACTTGGTACACCCCCACTGTCCTCGGCTTGGCGGTGGCGCTCGGGCTGTACAAGGGCTTCCAGCAATTTCTGGTCCTGGTGGTGGCCGGATGCCCGTGCG